CACCTCGGAATGATTGTGTTAAGCTAGCACTAAGTCCCTCCCCCATCCACCTGCACTCTTTTCTTTACAATGTGTCTTTCAAATAAGTCATGGTTGTACGGCAGTGAAGCATCGGTGTTGAACACTGATGTCATGCTGTCGATGATGATGATGTGACTTTAGCACATGTCCTTTCGTGGTGACCTCTCTCAGGATGACTTCATGCTTTTGGCCATTCGGTCAGCGGTTCCGCCCTTCCTTGTGCAGAAAGCACAAATGCTTTAATGCGATTAGGTTTTCAAATTCAAAGAGAGAGTGTGTGTAACATCGAACCCTCCAACCGCAATTTCCCACCTTAACTTCTTCGTTATGTGGAGACTAGAGGCAAGTAGACTCCTCGGCTCTCTGTTTCGGACAGTGCTTGTTGTATAGTCGCTAATTCTGTTTGTTTTTAGGCTTCGTGGACCCTAATAAGGAACCCTCAGCACAAAGAACTTACAGCGTTTATAAAAAAACGGTTGCAAGTTTGCTGGTTTATTTAACTAGCTCAATGGAATAAGTTTGTGAAAAGAGTATATGCGTATGCAATACGCGATCGATCACAGCTGTCATGATTAGAAGCAAAATGCGAATCCCAACAGTGATGCAGTTCCAATAGAAAGTTGTGTATGTGTATCGTTGAAAGTGATGAATTTTTTATACCAACTTAAACTTCATCGCGTTTCTGTGATGCCCTGTTATCTAGGGTTTGTACAGCAGTGTAAGCCTCGCTTGCGAAAATGGTGATTGCTGTGTGATGAAGTTCTCACGTACATGGAAGACAGCGGTATGTATTACATTGGCTATTTTCTGAAGTTGGAGTTGTTTACTCACAATGCCTGTCACACTTCACCCGATGAAGAACTATTTCAAAGTGGTCCATGTTCGGGGTTGGAGAACAAGAATCGATATTCTCCCAGTATGCAGTGGGGTATTTCAACGAATCTGGGATTCTTCTAGCTGGGTGATCTCCAGAATGCAACAAGAGATGTGTCATGAAGTACACTGGCTTATCAGTACGAAGTGCTAGGTGATACCCAAGATAGCTGTTCCATTTGATCCTAACATTAACTCAATCAGTTCCAGGTACAAATGCCTGACCAAAACTGCTTTGAACCAGCCGACCAGCAGGAATTCGCTACTAGAGGAGACAGTTACCTGGTCTGTGTAAACCGATCGGGTGAAAATAGAGATAATACTACCACTACTGTTTTGTTCATGAGCCTATTTATTTTCTTCGATGGAAGTCGCATTGCCTCGTGGATCGCTAGATTTTTTGTATAGCAGTTGAGCGAATGGACGGAAATCGTGTCGGCGCATCCTGTTGCATGATTTATTGGAAAGTAGCTTCATCGCCTATCCCTCATGAGTTGTAATTCCGGAGGCTTTCGACCGTCAGACCTCTATTGGAGAAGATACTCTGGTCGAGTGTGACCATGTATCCATGGTTCAATCGATGACAAGTGCCTCCAACAGACTTCGCCTCGGATACTTCATTTTTAGGGGACGTTTACATTTCGGACTAGCAATCACCTGAATATGATGTAAGTGTTTCGGTTGGTGAAAAGTTCATCCTTTTGGTGCCCCAATGGCAATGCTCGAGGAAGGGCCCTGATTATGAGAACACTCGTTGGCTGAATGCGTGAGGTATGTTTGTCACATTGCTTCAGTTGGTTGATCCTAAGTTATCCAGGCTGTATCACCGGTATTTACGTAGCCAAAAGAGTACAATTTCTACTCCTCACAGGTAAGATTTAAGCAATATGTGAAGGAGATAAGTCCACCATCCAGTTTTCTTCAACATTAGGTAGTGTATGCCAAACAGGAAACAAGGGAAAATCGGAGCCTGAGCCATAAACAACGATTTACCTCACAGACTACAGTTGAAGCTTTGAACTGAGTGAATAATATCCGGGCCTTCAAATATGCTCCAACGAGAGCGCAACTGTTCACATTAACAGACATCGAGAAGACCATGAGGGGAAGCGAACCTGAGCTGTTTTACCTGGTTCAATTCCCACAACATCGTGTCTAGCCTTCTTCACCACAGGTAACCCGAGAGGGAGAATTGCCTGCATGGATGAATTGATGCAAGGTTCCAGGAAGTACTATATACGCTTGATCAGCACGGTACCTTGTTGACTCGTATCGGTATACGGCTTTAGCGCATCCGCGACAAACCTGTCAGTTAGTTAATTCCCATAAGAGGATCCCCTATGTCTCATTCACAAGTCCAAACCCACTGGATTCCATTGTTACTATTGACGGCCAATAGAAATATAGCAGCTTCGGTAGGCGTGTCGTCTGTGCGCAGTTTAGTACCAATGTTGAGTAGAAAAACAATATGCTGAATTCCACTATTTGCGGAAAGATACGAGGTTGCTCTATCTTGAGCCACATTGGCGGGCATTTTTGTTCACCTCCGGACTTGTCGGTAGTTACGCGGTTATTGATCCGAAGATTACCAGTGTCTTAAAAATTGTTGAAGCTCTATAACTCTTACAGTGCACGTATGAGTGTTCTTGCTTAAATAACCACGTGACCGTAGGCCTACACGCAGTTTTCTCTCTGTCCTTAAGGTGAACTAGATGGTTCACCGAGAAAACGCATCAGCTGCATGTAATTTGCAACTCATCGTTGGTTTGCACGTCTTTCTTGATCACACGGAGAACTTGTGTGTTACATCCCTTTGGTTTGGTCACTGTGTATTATTCAAACGCGGTTGCATAAATCTTGTGAACGATTCCGTATACAAGCCAGATCATGTCTGAAGAGACGCACCAGAATCAGACATTGGTTGCATCATACTTAACGAATGAACTACAGCAATTAGGTTTTTTACCCTCGACAAACACCAGTTCTATGTCCAGAGGTAAAATTCGATTCCCTTTAATGACCTAATACTTATGATGTCGCCATAAATCAACCAGACAAGCTCATTGTCTTTCAGTACGCGCAGCGTATTGACGGAATCTTTGGTCTTATCACGCGGTAGTGGAAGTGCAGAAAAGCTTACTGGTATTCACGTTGATGTGTCCCTCAACAGCTCACGCTGACCTGAAGTACTACCCGCACGTGCTGGTTCAAGGGGGGCGCTGGACTCTTCTGGTCCAGATTTATAACTCTCAGAATGTAAATGCTTATCAATTGTTCCAGAAGGCACGTTTACGCCTAACAGCAAGCCCATTCAATAAGAAAACAAGCCTCATTTGTGTTATCTTTCATGAGTTTATCCGTTGACTATATGACATTCAGCCTGAAAGCATCGATGTATCTCGTGACAACTGGTGGTCTCAGTTTAGTGATAGGCAATCGAGACAGCAGCCACAGAGGCGAACCAGCAGCTCCTCGATGCTCTACTAAGCAAAACGAAGTCTCTCCTGAACAAAGAGAAACTTTCAGTGTTTAACGATGGATGCTCCGGAGTTATTATCACTTCCTGACTGTTGGTGTGGGTATGACGCTATTTTAAAGGGTGATCCAGGTCATGGCGGAAAAGTTATCTACCGCCCAGAGTGCTTTTCCCCAGCAAGATATACGCGACTTAAAATTGGCAGATTCAGGATACCATGAATCTGCCGTAATTAGGTTTGAAAGCCGTGACCGGTGGACGCATCACTTTGTTTACTGTCATCTCCCTGAACTGGGGCTCCGAGACCAGGTACGCTTTTGTTGGTGACAGTGACAGCCATCGTCCGGCCACAGAAACGCTTGCGTTGTGCATCAAACTGACCATCTACCATGCATGACCATAGGGTCTCCTACTTTTCTTGGGAGCAGCAAGATTCCAGCCTCATTCATTCTGGCTTTTGTGGACCAGTGCCTGGCAGCTACTAACGAAATAGATTCGGCTTCAAATCACCCGTTAGCTTATGTTTATAAACTAACTTCACCCACTTGTATTCACCTACTGTTTACCACGTCATCTTCCTTAGAGATTGCCATTAGTTACAATGGTGCAGCGTAGAATGCACCCCTATCAGCACAAACCCTACTATGGGTATTGTTAACAGAAGACAGTTGGATCTTAGTCGAGATATTCAGTCTCCTGGTCCATCGAGTAAACTGCGGAAGCTACCTGAGTTACTTGGTAATATTTGATTTGCCTTGTTTTTCGTTTAGGCGCAATGAGGTCTCCTCAGTAAGATGGTGCTGGGAGATAATGTGAAGGTAGTGAAAAGTTTCCTCACGGAGGTGGATAATGGATCCTTAATCCGACGTGTTTCCACAGATGCACTACTTTTCAAGAGAAACATCGAGCAGAAACCCTCCAACTGAGGAGGATGTAACCTTCTTCGACTTTATATACAGTCCTTTCCCAGAAGAGCCGCTCTCACTGTTTGTGAAGAAATAGCTCTCTTCAGACAGAAGAGAGAAAACGTGGGAAAACGCAAGAAAAACGTAAACTTGAACGTGAGCAATCAGAGCGAAACGGCCATTCGGTTCACCTTAGGGATGGTGCTATGCAGAAGACTGTAAGTCGAAAGGAGTTTTATACCCTTCGGACTAGTTGTCACTCAATTCTTCTCAGGAGACAACAGTTCGACGATCAGGAATGTCTGTCTCCGCTGTCTGATGCATTTCAATGTCATATGGGTCCTTCGACTAGAATAGTCTACAAAAGTTATTGGCCTGTTCGGAGGTGAATACAACACGCTGACATCAAGAGTAGTTAATCGTGTAACGACAAAAAGATGTTCCTTACTGTGGCATTATTCGCGACTGCAAATTCTATCCCTGCCTGTGCCATCAGTGTCTACATCAAACCGCTAAATGAAGCATCAGTGCATCTCATTTCGTTAGCACCAATAACGAAGTGCGGGGAATGAGCCTTAAGGTGATCACCTGTTGTGTTCAAGTGGCACAACACGCATACTGTCCGTGGTGGTGGTGGCGGTCGCGTTGATGAACTAGAGCCATAAGATCACCGCCATTATCAAGTGGGTTTTTGCAAATAAGATGGGAGCTGGTTTTGCGGCAGATTTCACGTCCTCGTGACAGTCAAACCCGCCGTTAAAAACAAGAATACCCCTTTATTTAGTTGGGGCTGGATGGTTTACAGTGAACTGCCTGTTTATACAGGGTTCTCTTGATAGGACGGAGGTTTCTATGTTGTTTCGTGGTGTTACTTCAATTAGGAATACAGAACAAATTCAGGATAAAAAAATAAGTCCTCTTTAACTCTTCGGATGATTACTGGGAAAAACCGTAACAATACGCGCTGGAACAACCTACAACGGTTGCGAGAAGAAGTCTAGTGTGCCGCTTGGTGAAGATTCAAGGTCATTTTGTCTTTGTGGATATTTGTTCAAAGAACTATTGTCATCCCACTGATTCGTCTTACAGAAACCTACCAATGTTATGCCGATGTGTGTCGACCTCCAGTATATTGTACCTTTTCACTAATGGCATTTTATGTAACTCCCCTAGCTGTCATACTCTGGTCTCCCAACTTTACTTACCAAATCGTCATGTATGAACATTTATCAAAATATTATTCCTCATTGTAAGGATTGATGAGACTACCGAGTTGAACATAGGAATAGCACAGTATCCTAGTCTCATAAAAAAGACTCACGTGTACATTCCACAGTCATTGCGTGATTATCTTTCGTTCACCAAATCCCAAATGTGCGGCAACACCAGACGAGACAATAAAATTATTCATATATCATTTGTTTAGTGACTCAAGTTTTTTGGAAAACCTGACAAGTATTGAATACTCGGGCTATTGTGTTTGACGACCTGTTTATCCTATCGGACGATCCAAGCTGCGGATTAGGAGCGTAACCTAAATTTTAAGATAGAGATTCTGAATAACTTAGCTACATTTATGCTATTACTGAGTGGTCAGATAATCATCTAAGTGATTTTAGTGCGGCATCATATCATCAGAATGAATTGCAGGGTGGAAGAGTGTCGGCCTCCTTGTTGAGGGCACACAAATGCGCAAAATAATGCAGATACTGCAGGAGTCTTCCTGTTAGATAGGGTGCAGCCGGACTTTCATATTTCCGGGGAATTAAATCATCCGAAATTCATATGTATTGGTGAGATTGATGGTTTGGGATCTGAAAACGCTTACATTCCAAAGGCAGCAAACTTGATGTGCTCTCTACACCAATCTGTTATTCCGAAAGTTCACAGAAATTGACTTTTGGTCCTCCTTGCCATATGCGATTCATCAAGCACCTGCTTTGCAGTTCGTGTTAAAACCTGCAAATTATGTGATTTGCTGGTCATTCTCTGAGCTGGGCAGTTGGATTGCAAACGTTTCATCACTAATCGAGGTGACATCATCAGTGCGTTATTGGGGAGCGTAATGGTGAGTAGCGGTGGGTTAGTGGTTGTGTGATTCGCGTTGTTTGGCTACGATTCCGATGACGAAAAATACCATTTCAAACTTACTAGTACTTCCCGTAAACCTCCTAGACCTCTAATCGGTTGGAAACCCGTGTTCCTTTATAGTCAAACTGCTTGGATCCCCAAATTTATACTTATTCCTCTATTCCAACAGTTATTATTAGAAGGCGATATGTTGGACTAATCTTTTTCATTACGATTTGTTTTCATTTATGATATATTGCAGAATTTCCAACAATTTTGTTTCTGGTTCTATCCGTACCCACAAAATCGGTTACAGGTCAGGTACGTCATGATACTCACCCCCCCCCCCCCCCCCCCCCAGGGTGTATTAATCCAAACGTTATTTGAACTATTTATGGCGAACTAACAAAACTGAATTTTTGTGCGCACATAGCTGCTCGGTGTTTCACACCCTGTTTAGGTAATATTGGGCAGGACCTCACGTAGTTTCATTGTTGATTTTGGCATACTTGAGGTAAGTAGAAAACTCCATAGGCGATCGGCTGTTCTATTCATAGCGAGATTACTAACTTTACCGGCTGATTCGGAAGTGCAGCGATCACATATCGATCCGACAAGTGCACTTGCATGTGCGTTATAGTCAATCGAAGAGCGTAATCCAAACACAGAGCAAGGTGCGTAGTTCATTCGTAATAGACAACTATGATGGAATAAGGAAGATTCACTATGATGATTGACTTTTAAAACCTAAACTGCATGAGCATTGCTACGTGCATTTGATGAAATCCTAACTCAACAGCTTCTCCTGCCGAGTTAATACCGTAAATAAACGTTTCAGGAATTTAGAGACTTTGAGACCAGGTTAGTCATGTTTCACCTCTATTGTATGGGTGCGAGGAATGGCCTTTGCGGAGTGATGATGTGAGGCTTCTTCAGGTTTTTGACCACCAATGCCTCAGAAGCCCTGCTGGTTTTGGATGGCTGCAGCGTGTTAGTAACGAGGTGACTAGAAAACGAGTATTTTATTGTGCCGCAGATACTTCACTCCGAGAAAGAATCCATCACCACCGACTACGCTGGCTCGGTCATGTGGTACACACACCGAAACACCGACTACGAGTGTTACTCAAAATACCTTCAGAATGGCGCAAACTGCGAGGTGGACAACGCACAACTAAGCAGAAGAGCGTGAAAGAGATCACGAAGAGTTTTGATGTTGTTGGTGTTGTGCGGCTTCCAGGATGGGGTCCCAGTGACCACACCTGTGCTTGGCTGGGGACGTTGCAAGAAAGGGCGGTTAATCGATGTCAGTGGCGTTCGTGCCGTCAGTTCCCAGATTGTCTGATTGAGCGGTTGGAGGTGTAGGCACCTCAGAATGCTTGAGATAGCCAGCACTAGGTCCCCTAACTCACCTTTCCTTTCCGCTTCTTTTCACTCTAGGGCTTTAAATATGATTATATATATATATATAACTAGACGAACCTTATGGTTGTATGAGAGTGAAGTATCAGTGCCAGCACTGATGTCGCTTTCGTTGATGAGATGATGATGATGATGACGATGATGATGATGATGATGATGATGATGATGATGATGATGATGATGATGATGATGATGATGATGATGATGATGATGATGATGATGATGGTAATCTATTTATATGAGTATGATTTATCAGTGGGAAATCAGTGTTCTAAATTGGACCATTTCGTCTTCAGTGTAAACCAAACCTTATTCTCCGTTATTAAAACTCACTGAGATAAATTACAACGGATACACGCAATCTTGTCCCACTCAACAGTCTATGGTCTTGTCCTGGCTCAAATACGTCAGGTGCATTAGGTCTTCTAAACTAAGCATTTTTACATACTGTTATGTTTAAGTGAATGAATACGCTGCCTGCTCCGTACTCAGAAGTCTCAAGTAGCATCGCGTTTGTCTACATTTGGCTCATTCAAACTTCTGGTGAGTTTTTCTTCTAACAAAATGGGACCATTTCGTGCTTTAATCACAATTGAAAGGTTAAACGTGTATATGCGGCGGGCATGTTCGTGTGTTGGCATGAAACAACCATCTCCCGTATACCCAAAGGTTGTTCTGTCGAAAATCCTCCCCGGTTCTTGTCCTTTGTTCCCGCTGCTTGCAGCTATGCCGCATGTTTCAAAGTTCACCGAGCCTCTTCCACCTTCCAACACACCCGATCAACAGTACTTGGTAAGCGGAACCTGTGTGTTGTCATATGAACCACTCTAAAATTCACTTAGCTGGTCATTGCCCGGTGGCACGTTAGGCATTAATCCATAGTGATTTCAAGAGCCTAGGAGTTGCGATTGTAGAGTTTTGGTAGCTCAACTCTCAGACCACCCGCTGGCTTAGCAGATTTGATTTGAAGATTCACAAGACTTCCACTTTATAATATAATTGAGAGACTGAAATGCATGCCGCGGCTAACTGCATCGGATAAAATGAACATATTGAACGAACTCAGGACAGACCAAACTTTTGCTGGTATTTTAGTTCCCGTATATATTGTGATACTTTAGTTTCCAGAAAAAAAAGAGAAAGGGCAGTTTTCTCACGTCGGCCCCATTGCATCAATCATATAAGGTATGTTTACTGTAATAAAATTATGACCGGATGAAGCGCAGCTGAAAATAATACACCGCATGTGAGAACAGGCTCATTTTCTCAGGGTCCTCTATTAGTGAGCCCATCTAACGATTTGGTCAAACTCGCCACCTGGATTCCCATTATCATCCTGGATATCTAGATTATTGTTCGCATTTGTTCAGTTGGTTGTTCTATCGAAGACTAGCGGGATTCACTGTCTTCGATGCCGATCTCGATGGCAAGTTGGTGTCAGGACTATCTCGACGCAGCGTAATGCATGAAACCGAAGTGATCATTAATTCGGTAGTCTTGTGATGTTCCAAACACCATGTTGGGTATGCGGTTTAGCACTCCCTTTCAAGGACAGAAGCATTAGGTGACGTTGCTATCCGAAGAAAGACAAACTGCGTTTTCCATATTTAGAACCCCATTTGTCTGACTATTTTCTCTTCACTTTAGTCCTAATCTGAAGTGATCCGGCAAAACACTAAAAAAGCGTTTAGCTGTAACATTCTTCCGGTGTCTGGCTGCTATGCCACCTGAAGTAAACACGAGGCCTGAGATAGTATGAGGTTGCCCAAGCCTACAAGAGGAGAGGCAGGGGTCGGGTTTGAGCCACAGACCTTCAGGTCAGCAAAGTCGCGCTACAACCACTGAGCAATCTCACGAAACACTACGGAGTCGACTTTTTCAACTGGCTGCACTTCACTCGTATTCGGTTGATCGTGGAAAATCACAATTTAGGGTAATCGGTCTGACTGTTTTAGGCCTCAAATCGTCTCCTTCTGAGTTCAGATACTCTCAGATAATTTTTGTCGAGCACAATACCCTGTTTCCATTGTTTGTCACCATATTAGAGAAGATTCCGAGATGTCATCAAACTAGACCGTTGTAGTTATCATTTCGATGACGTGGCGTCAAAAACGGCTACAGAGCAGTTATTTTTCGAGACCCTCCAGAATTTGACCAGCATCAGCCAACTTCCATCGTGTTCTTTGGAATTTACGGCTAGAAATCTTCCGACGCCCCTTTGAAAAACGAAAACATCAACTCACTGAAATTAGGTCTACTGAACGCTTCGCTAAACTGTTAGTTTGCATTCATATTTACTATTTGGAAAGCCAGTTCTAACTGTATAATGGTTCCTCAGCTTCATTTTCGTGGACAGGCCGGGAAATTTAGTTTCCCGAATGCATCAACTCACTCTGCTATTTTGTGAAATCAAAACCTCCCAAATCAAATTTTTGTTGTGACTTTGCTTTACTTTTTCCATAAAAATGCTCATTTTCACGATGAAACAAGACGACTGATTGAAGTCCTCATCCGCTTCGTCATCATTTTGGTTCCTTGATTCATTTGTGTGGATATGGATCATGGGTTTGGTAGCCCAAATCGTATGTCTGCCTTCCGCACCCACACACCTATCTGCCCAAGTATATGAGGTACAGTATGTGTAAGCAGCTGAATAGGAGCAACTATCCGGCGTACGAAGGAAAACTGTATTTACCTGGCGTAATATATATGCGCCTCGCATGAACAGCCACAGAACGGCCGCACCTTTGCAGGAAGAAAAACTTTCGGGTGAAAAACCGTTGTGTGGGATAAAGTGGGATTAAAATGAAGAACCTCATTCATCTGTGCGCTCTAGTTGAATTACACTTGACTGCGGCTTTTGTAGGCAACGTATTGAGCACCATGGTTCAAACCAGTGAAAACATTGTACGCGTGCAAAAGAATTGCCAAGTCTTTCAATATCTGATACCTGAAGGAAGCTATTTCACGAACCCTGGATGATGCAGACGCATTAGCGGATGAAAATACGTAAAATTAATGGTTTCACGAAAACCGTAGCAGAACAATACGAGAACATGTGTTCAGAGTTGAGTGGGTGAAAGATGGAGGAGACGAAATGGAAAAAAGCAGCGAAAAATTCACGATTCACAGATGTGATTTAACTGCAAAAATTGGTTTAATTTTGTAGTTCTGTTCAGTGTTCGTAGACAGTTGAGTCAGCCTTGACTTGTAGACAAGGATTTCGGTTAGCGAGAACAGGGATGTATTCCAACACATGGAATCTGTGTTAAACTTGTTATCTTTGCGTTGCCAAGTTCGGAATAGAGGGCTTATCGCCTCCGTTCGTGGTCAAACTCGATTTCTGGAAAGTATCTCCACTCACCCTCAAACCCATTCCAATGAGTTTCATACCTGCTTCAAGGAAGAACAATTTTTAAGAAGTGTTTATTTTTTAGCAACTAAGGTCAATCAGCTAGAGTTGTTCGCGTTGTTCATGACAAATAGGTGCCTGCACTCCTAAGGTGGAGGTTCTCTTTTGCCAGTTTTCGCGTTTGCACAAAAAGAGCTACTTTGCTGGTGAATAGGCGCACTGAGTGATGAATTGGTGCGAACATTCCCTTTTAACGAAAACGGCAGTTTCTTGTGATCCCCAATGGGGGAACCTACCGTTCCTTATCTCATGAATATGATATATCAGTTCTTTTAATGCTCTTTTAATCATCTTAATCTGAATTTTTTTATAAAACTCATTACTGGTCTCGTTCAGTGAACAGCAAAACAGTTTGTCTTCCAGCAGTGACAGAGAAAGATATTACAATGCACCGACATTTTGAACCAAAGACCTACTGTATGTGACCGGCAACTAACACGGTAGACAGAACAAGTCACACGTGAGGAAAACCATAACAAAATGAAACAGCTAACTTGTCTGCGCATCACGATGCATAATTAATCCGACATGCCTTCGATCGTTGCAGATGATCATCTTAATCGACTGTGGACGGTGTAAGCCGTTGGTTGGGTCACGTGTTTTTTGCATGTGCTAGATCAATAGGTTTATGAAGTTTTTGTAGATATACCGATGAACACGGCGATGACAGAGACGTGAAACTGAAGCTTTTGACCGGATGTTTGGTACGGATGGTGCGATCAGTTTCAAGAGAAACTAAACAATCGAAAAGTATCATCGAAGTGTGAAATAATAATAAAATGTTATGAATTAGCATTCTTGATCCTAAAAATACTCCTCGCTGAGAGTCCTGCTTACTGTTGATCAGCAGGATCAACCATGCTAACAATTTTCGGTCTCTCTGCAGCACCATGAAATATTCTTTGGATCCTTGTGCACTGACCGAATATAAACAAAGGATGTCATGAACAAGAGTATGGCGAATCAGTATGTCCCATTTGACAGAACAGATTGCTCAGGGAAACTCTGAAAACTATCCGGCAGCCAGCTAATGATGTCTTCCTTCTTGGGGTTCTGCAGGTACGTGATGATTCCGAGTGTGAATCAAGTCCACGCTCTAGTTTAACACGAAACTTGCGCGCATGCCAAAGAAATACTCAAATTAGTCTCCAAGATACACCGAATGAATTGACGCGGGATAATTTCGTCCATTAACACCATCGCTATTCTTTTTATCGTTTCGGTGTTTTTGGGTGTTGGCCAGGCCCGATAATAATATCATCACAGCATAGCATTAGCTGAAGCCCTCCAAATATCACTTTTGTTTGCATTTTACTTCGAATGCCCAGTGGGCTGACTTATCAGCTAACTCAAAACTGTGACCAGCTTGTGGAAACTCGCTGCTTCAGTTTTTTAAACATAACTCCGCCATGCATAAAAGACAGTTAGAACGCCAGGAAGGGCTGTGTGATATTTTTCTCAGTCGTATTGAAAGAACCACAGCGTGTCATTTCCACCTAAAGTTCAGAAATCTCCTTCGAACTTTGTGACT